TACTGAAACAGAAATGCAAAAAGAAATTTTCAAACAAGTTCTGGAAGCCAAATCAGTTCATGAAACAGACATTAAATGAAAGGTTTTTGCTACAACACAAAATTTACTTAAAGAAATTCAAAACTGCAATGAGAGCATAATTTTGGAATAAGTTAACAGACAAATTATCTCAGATTCTGCCAGTGTTTCAAGAAGCCCAATTAGAAAAAAATGACGGAAATACATTAAAAATAAGAAAAGTAACCTGTAATGAAAAATTTCAGCATCAAATACGATTGGACCGTAAAACCAGGCAAAAACAAAGACGTTTACACATTTCTCCCAACTGAAATAAAAAGAATTCGAAGGTAACTAAGAGAATTACAACAACACTGTAGTACATGTAACAAATCTGATGACCAACAAGAAACAGACATAGTCTCGTGGATACAATGCGTGCAGTGTGTTTCTTGGCATCATATGTTTTGTGTCTCAGTAACAATTGATACTACAAATTTTACATGTAAGCTATGTTTGTAAGGATTGTAACACACATTAAAACCTTTCAAATTCATGAAATCATCAAAAATCATTATTTTTCCTATTAAATTCACATTAAGCACATTAGAAACTTTCTTAAAAATATAAAATCATGATTTTTTTATAATAAATTTTTATAACATCACATTTTTTATTTATATAATTTTTTTCATTTTCATATTTATAAATATTAATTTTATAATTTTTAAAACATGAAAAAATAAATATGAATGTGAAACTTATAATTTATAAATATGAAACTACTAGTAAACACATGTGTGTCTGCATAATGAATGTGACCAATAGGAGCGCAACAGGATCTCAGGCTCTAGTCGCTTGTGCCCCTTGGCCCCTTCTAGGTGCTTCACTGCTGGTGATAATGATAAGCGGAAAACATCTGCCATGCTCAGAAACCGGTTAATGATGCATGATCCCGATAAATTCTGTGGAGAAATGAAACTCATTTTCTTTTGCATGGTGATATATGAACACTCGCGACTTTTGCAAGTGATCTGACGAAAATCCACATATAATAATTTTTTAATAGGTAGGGTGATCAGACCCCCGATTTAGGGGACTGTCCCCGGTTTTACCCGTTTTTAATATTTGATTGTAGAACCAATCTTTGAATAGCGCAATTTTATTAACACACCAATATACTGTAATATCATTAGGGTTTCCATAATTGTCAAGCATTGATACGAGACATTTATTTAAGTGCTAAATAAATAAAACATGAAAAAAGTGGGTAGGTAATAGTTTATTTTACTCTGATAAAAAAATCAATAAAGTTTAAGCAATCTAATAAAATGAATACGTAAAATAATAAAAAAAGATGTAAGGTTAATCCTTTTTACCCCAGTCATATTTTTAAGTTAATTTTACTTTCTTAGTTATATCATTTTCTTCTTTCACATAATTATAAAATTGGGCGCAAGTCATTCTTAAATTATAATGACAAGTCAAACTTTCTTCAATTGTCTCCACTGACAACCTATTTCTTTCGTCTGACCATTGAGTTGACATTAGGGAAAATATTCGCTCCACATTTGCATTGTGGGCTGGAATGGCAAATACGTATTCGCATAGCTTTATTAGACATGACATCTGATCAATGCTTTGTATCTGCAAAAACTTCAGCCATTTCTCTTTCATACTCAATTTCATAGTTGCTTCGTAGTTTTGGTTAGTATTATTTTTCTCTAAATAATCTTTTAGATGTACAAACTGGCTGAATAGAATCTCAGTGTTGCCAATATCGATGTTTCTTGTAAATATGCAATAGTACGTTCTATTTCTTCCCATTCAGGAGCTTGGTTGAGAAAACGGGACAAACAGTAATATAGGACTGAGTAGTGAAATACGGTGACAGTCCCGTATATACGGGATGTATGGCAACCCTAAATATCACCCGTTTATAGATCAATAAATAAATAAATTTTAAAAAATAACCAAAATTCAATTACTGTAGACCTCAATTTTACTGATTCTGAAATGTGTCCACGATTGGATTGTAAATGTTATGGTTAGTCTATAATAGGCTGACTGATTCGCCTTTCTTCTAGATTTATCAAACCGATCTTGTAAAGTGACGACAGCTTTACTCCATAAAATAACCTTTATTTTCGATACAATGCAATAACCTGTGCATTTCGGGTGCAGCATTTGCACTCTAACAAGTAAGACTGAAAATCCACGTTTACCTGTTCACCAACAAATTCCATTCCACTCACTAAAGGTAACGATGATGTGTGGTTTCACAGCATTCTTTATCAGTGGTCCTTTTTTTAAAGAAAAATCTGTGTCCAAGTTAGTGACATATTTTATTAATACCGCTAGATTTGAAGATAAGCTCTAAAACTTCGTCATTCCAGCACTCCAGCAAAGAAATTGTCTAAAGATTAGTATCTTTATGAAAGATGGTGCATTCCCACATATTGACTGAAATGTGCAAGCCTACTGAAGCATTTTTCGCATGATAGCGTGATTAGTCAATCATTTCTAATGACCACTCTCTGAGGTATTAAACTCTCCGCAAAGTGGAACTTATCTCCTCTGGAACAGGCAGCAAAAGAGCTGCATAATGGCATAATAGAATAGTTCTGATGTGAAACTTCATCTGCATAATGCAGATGCAGATGAAGTTTCACATCAGAACTATTATGTTTCACATTATGCAGATGTGAAACTTCATCTGCATAATGCAGATGCAGTTTCACATCAGAACAGAGGAGGGGGTAGAGTAGGGACCCGGCGGCCGACTTTTCGACGGGTGTCAGCACTGTTGAGAGACCTGTGATAGGTTTCCTATGCCTGAAGATACTGATTAGCATGGCTGCTACAAACAAGTTTCCTGGGACGCCTCGTCTTTAGACAGGATAAGTGGAATGTAGTTGGTTCGACTTTTCTGGCACAAACTGATAGCCCTGCTGGTAAGAAGTGAAAATACCAGCGGATGCACCTCATTTAATAAGGAGGATCTCCTAAATCATGGTAGGCCATGCTATTTCTGTGACTTGGTCCTTCTAGCCCTAGTCTATAACGTAATATTAAATGCATCCAATAATTATATTTCATTAGAAAGGACGAATGGAAACATAAATGTAAAATATAAAAACAATTATTTTTATTTAAATTTATTTTATGTTTGTGCCATTAATTTTTAATTATCCTAAGACTTTCAGAAACAAATACAATTTCCAGAATTATAAATTTTAAAATGAATATTAAATTCTTCGGCATATTATCTATGTTTTAAAATGCAATATTTTTAATTTAATGAAATTTATGCGAGATCCTCGACGAAAATCCAAAAAGATTTCTTATGTGCGAGAAGTTTAAGTGAGATTTTTAAAAATTTCATCGTAATTAATAAGAAAAAAGTATTCGTGTAAGCTTTTCGTTTCCTAAAATTAATGAAGACAGATAAGAGTACAAGGTTTTGGAACTTTTTTTGAAAATGATATAGCATTAAAGATAACCTTATTGCTATAAAATAATTTGATGACCCGATGGTTGAGGCGGTTAATGTGTGAGCCACAGCTCTGGTGAACCTGGCGCCAGCAACTGCCTAGGAATATTTCGTGGGTGGTCTGTTCCAAATATGCCGGGATCCATTGTCGACCTGCCGAATCCACAATATGTATGAAAAAAACCTTCTTAGCGCTCACAGAGCGGAGAGATGAAAATGATCATGATGGCTGTAGAAATTTAAATTCTTACGAGAATATTATCAATCAATGAAAGAATAAAGAAGGGATAAAATCCTAGGCGAATAACGCTATTCAATAACGTAAATACATAGAAATTAAAGAGATTTTTGAAATCCCCTGATAGCAATGCTTTATAGCTTACTCTTGTCACAATTGTATGCATGGTAAAATTGTCAGAAATACAGATGGATAAGAAAGAGTAATTTTACTTGTTTTTAATCCGGAAATAATTATATTTATTTTTAGAATTTACAAATTTTTTGGTCAGAAATACTTTTATATTTTCATATTTTAGGAAAAATAAGGATGACATTTTTTTTCGAGATTCCGCTAATGGCGGTTATTTCGTAGTGATCATAATTATCACACAACTAATTATTTCCGCGATACAAACGCGTCTCCGAGTTAAGATTTATCTTAACATTAGACTAGACCAAATAAAATAAAAGTGTAATTAAACAATCTTACCAAAATCTTATCGAAATTAGATCTTGTAACTCACATTTCATCCACTTCTAATCGAGATGGAAGTCTGAAACTTTGAGAACACATCTAAGTCCGACAACAAAGCATTTTAAGGTTGTTTATAAGGAATGTCCCCGTCCCCACCGTCCTCCACGGACTCCATCCCGATAAACATAACCAAATTAGAATTTAATCATATGTATGGTGGGATGGCTCCACCCCATTATCCCGCACTTTTCTCTCGAAAAACAACCAATTAAAGCATTTTTTAAAAATATGTTAAAATTATTTATTGCTAACAGGAACTTCATTTATTTAATGTTTTATGTTTTAATTTATTTATAATTATTTTTCAATTTTATTACATTGCTATGTTATTTATGTGATTTATTATTATTAGTTTTCGATTATTTTCTCCCTATAAATTTTAAAAAGCCCTTATTCCATAGTTATCGTAAGTTTAACCAACCTCTCATTAAGCGAGTAGATGGTAAGGGTCTGTCATTAAGCGAGTAGATGGTAAGGGTCTGATACATACGGTTCGAATCTCTCACGAAAAATCCTTGGGTTTACTCGTCAAGATTCGATTCTGGGTCCCCAAAGCCATAGACTGAAGCCTTAAATGCCAGTACTTTAAGTAATTATTATTGCGCTAAAACTTTTATTTTATGACACACATTAAAAATCGCCTCCCCACCCCAGATTTGATCGTGGATCCGTCTTTGATGGAATCTCAGGTGTATCAAAGAGCAGAAGCCATTCTGGTGTCTTCTTTGTTTGATTATTTGCTTTGTTTTCTTACAGAGGCTCGATCTGTTCCATTCCAAAACATCACTGGCAGAACGTCAGAATCACGTGTAGACGTTTTGAAAGACACGTCGAATGTCAACAGACAGGATTTACATCTCGGATGTTGCCGGCGCTTGGAGAGACGTCACAGAAGTGAGAATCACTCCAAAAACAATGGTGAAAATATAATATGTACGTATTCAAAACATTTAATCCTATTCTATATAAACTTTTATTTTTCTCTATAATTCGAATTATTTTATTTACATTATCTGAAAGTGTTCTTTGATCTTCCAAATAATTTAACTCCATGAGCGTAATAATTTCTGATTCATTACCATTTAGATTATTAAGCTACGAACATGTAACATTAAATTTGGTTAAAACTACTATTTTTATTAAAATTCACTTTATTTAGTAAATGTATTCGATACTAAAAAAATGTTCAGAAAGTATCGTAAAGACAAATACAAAGCCTAAATCATCTGCGAAATGGAATTCTTGGCATTAGCCTTATAGAGTATCTTATACATTTGATAGCTATAACAGTAAAAATCTCAGAATGATATTATACAAAAGCAATAAAGCTGTAAAGCAGAGGAGGTTAAATTCCCAGAACTACCTGTTTGACATCCCATAATTCTTCTCCACGTATAACAATAGAGGCAAGCAGCCAGTCTTCAAACTAACTTTCGAAAATTTCTTTAAAGCCAAAACGTTTATTACTAATTAGTTTTAAACGGAATCCAGACGTTAAAGCCTTATGGTTTATTTCACTTAACAAATTTTATTTATTTATATACTGTATTTATTAAATAAATAAATACATAAGAATTATCAATGATAATCAAGCAGCGTATAATTCACGTAAACGATACGAGATGGCAGCATTATGGAATAGTTTTTGCTAAATGTATTGTAATACAATACAGGATAAGAGTCTTTAATGGGCGGAAGTTATCGTAGAGCATTCGCAGTAGTAATAATTATATATAAACCGAAGTTTTAATGAGTTTTTGCACAAGTTTTAGAGGTTAGAAGTCTTATCTAACTAAATACTCGTAAATAGATGACGAATAGACAGATTTCATGCCAAAGTGAGATTCGAAACCGTAGTCAGAAGGAATAAACAACCTCTTCGCTGTGGATAAGTTTATCGGTTCTTCATAATCAATTAATATTGAATAATAAAATTAAAAAACACGATTATAAATTAATTACGGGTAGCCATTTAAAAATTAGGTTCTTGCTGTGATTGACGAATCGTTTTTATTATTAACTTTTAGTAGTTAGAAGTTGCGAAATTTAGAAAGGAGAACGAGTTAAAAAAGTAAACAAAGACCTGGCAAGAAGTTGTTGTGTCCCGTTTTGTCACATCAGACAAATTACGATTCGGTTTATTTCCTAAAATAGCTTTGCAATAAAAAAATAAATATATAAATAACAATAAAAACAACAACAGGTAAACAGTTAATAAACACTCGATTATATTATTTATCGGTCAATGGGACATGTGTCGAGCGTTATTGACCGAATAATCCTAGTGCGATTTGTCCCGCTTCGGTTTGTTGACTGCCGACAATATTCAATAGTTTGTCATCTGGTGTTTGCCTCGCGTGTGACGGTTTGTCATCGCTCGTGTCTGTCTCCTATACACAACTTTTGTATTTTTGTCGTCGCTGTCGCTGTCGCTGTCGCCTTGTTACTACACCAAATGTAATTGTGTGTTTATGTGTGTCAATTTGCCATCGTGTCGTCTCTTATTTACTGATTTTTTATGTTCGTAACTCGAGATACGTGTTATTCAATCGACAATTTCGTGTTTCCTCCTGAGTAAAAACGAAAGAATAGATTTCGGGACTGGTGTTTATTAACGAATTTACAATAGATAATTGGCGCAGAAATGAAAAATTAAAGTAGTTATCGACTTATATCGAAGTGAAAATTATCAGGAAATGTTTCCTTTTTGTTTAAAAGCAGCACGCAATTAAAATAATAAAAATCGAAAAATAAATTATTTAAAACGACTGCTTACTATAATTATTATCTTTGGAAGGAAAAAACTCATTAAATCTAATCGTTTTTGTTTATTTTAACGTCGACTTTTGTTTATTTAAATAACATTCTTAAATAAATCAAGGCTAAATCATTCGTACGTATTTTTAAAAGGCGAATAATTTAATTATTCGATTCGATTCCGAAACTATTTAACAGATATTTCGCCGCCAAACGTAACGATATAACTCATAACTTTTCGATTGGACTAATTATAAGACCAGTAACAATTATTATAATATAAATTATATTCGAATTAACAATAATTTCGACGTTTAATTTCATTTCTGTACTTAAAATAGCCGTCGTAATTTAAGTGGATGACAAATAAGTAGGACGTCGAGTAACGCTCTTGTTCCGTACACAACATTATATAAGTAAGAAAAAAGAAAAAAAAAAAGGAATAGTTGGATGCTGGATGTTGTATCCGTTAAAGATGTGAATGGAAATCCGCAACGTCCTAGTCACGTGGACGAACGTCCTTCAAGGTTATTGGGCTGTTCGCCTCGTCCAGACACAAACGCGATTCGTGTCACAACGGAAGGACGTTACGGAAGCATCTTCCTCATTCTGCGTGGATTTCGTTTTGCGTAAGGTATGTGCTCGGTTTTCACTCAAAAATTCACCACTCTAATTGCATTAAACACTAGCAATTAACCTTAAGGATAGGTTTCCTCCATTAATACTAATTGGAGACGTTTTGTTTTAAAACTGCCTCTTGTTATATTGGACTATTATCTGAAAAATAATCTCTGTAAAATTGATTTGGGGATTTTTCTAATTCCCTTCGTACTTAATTTATAAAATACATTTCGTGCAAGCGTAAGAATTTTACGGACAGACACTAGGAACGTCCTAAAATTAGAATATTTTTTTTTTTGTTTTTTATATATGTATAGATTTTTTTTCGAGTACTTGCAATTTTTCAGGTCCCGTTTGTCGAGGAAAAAAACGAAAACAGTTATTTAACCCAGTTTATTATTTTAAAACGGTGTCAAACAAACAACATTTAAAATTATTTATACATTTTAAATTGTGGGAACCGGTTAGAAAGCGAAAATTTCTGTTTTAATTGACATTTTTAAAGTTATTTAGTTGGAAAATTTCGTTATAATGTTTCTAAAATAACAGACATTCGAGACGTGTTGTTTGTATGACAGGAATAACATTTGTCAAACTGATTATAAATTGAATATCCCCCCGATGAGTGCACAGTTTTTAATATTTGTCGACTTTATTTGTTACTCTCGGGATAATTATAGTATGCAGGAAGATCAAATTTGCCTACAGCATTTTCAGATTTTATAATCATTCACTTTATGTCAGTTTAAGTTAGATTGGTATTAACATTTTCAGTAGAAAGTGGAATTATTGATATATACACTGAGTAAAGTGTATAATTTCTTTCAAATTAAGTATATATATTTGTTTTCCTAAATTGTCAATAACCTTAACCTAGTATTCGGGGACTTTATGCTGTTCTTATTAGTTTTATTTCCAGTTTAATAGGTGGCATGACTGTTACACAATAAAATGCACTCATACGCGACTCTTGTGTCTTGACGACGTGTCAAAGGTGAACACCTGACTGCATTCTTGTCTGTTTAACTGTTTTAAATAGTTAAAATGCGCAGCAATTAATACCAGACAAGTTTCAGTACTGGTATATCCGGTAATAAACGTTGTTTACTTCTAACGCGACCAACGCCCGAAAATAGACACCACCCTTTACAAAACGTATCACGTATTGGGAGGGAGAGACAGCACGAGCTTCCGTTGAGTGGAAGGGAAAAAAAGTCTAGATGATAGATAGCTACAGGGGTCTCTTAGTTTCACTGCCCTAGTTCAACCCTCGCTGGATAAAATGGTTCGTTCCCTTTACCTTGTATGTTTTATTTTTAATATAAGTCGATATCGTCTCCGACGGACTTTTTTTTTTTGTCAAAGTGTTACTTTTTTTTTTATTTGGAAATACATTTTTGTCGAACTGTCCTTGTGAGGAACGAAGGAACCTGTTCCTCGAAGCATCTCTAATACACAAACAATGCGGTAGGAACGGATAGGATTGGATACCTTCCAGTTTCCTATAACCGGGCCCGTGTTGGTTAGCGGTGCGTGTCGTCAAGGTCACTTACTCCAGTAGGAAGGGGGAAAAAACGAAGGAAAACAGTAGATAGAACTATAACTGACCTTCGATTGTGCACGAACTGGTCGCATTAATCAAGAAGAGACTTCTCCTACGAGAGTTCCTGCTGCTTTTGTTCAAACAGGAACTCCTGACGTCATTCCCCCTCTCCGTTACTTTTACTATAGAGCCGAAAGCAAACTTAATACAGTTTTCTTCTTTATTAAGTGTTAAATAACTCGTTTAGAAGCTACGTTAAGTTATTTGAAAGTATTTAGGAACTCAAACCTCTACACAATTGATTACGAATTCTTTTATCACTTTTTGTATCGCGTATTGCGCGCATTTTACATCGTTAATCTAGTAAAAAAAAAAATACGTTAGAAACAATAAAAATCTGTATATTATTGGTTGAAATTATTAACAATTAATTTCTAATCGCGCTGATATGTTGCAACTAAAAAAAGGAGCGAAAGGTCACAATCTCTACTGATATAATGTTTACGAAACAGGATAAATTCTCATTTAATTAAATTAATTATTATTATTTTAAACTCTAAAACCCTTTAATGTACATTGCAAATTTTCCTTTTATCTAAAATGTCATTCAAGATTTCTTCGGTAAATATATTTTTTTTCCCCCTGTGCGATAAATAACCGAAAAGTTTTGAAAGTGAAGCATTACAGCGTCGAGTTAAATTATATTAGTTATTAAATTGTGAGTGTTAAAGTTTGGAAATTTTGATTTAGATATCGATTTTAGAAACCTAAAGAAATTTTAATAAAGTTTTTTATTGGTTTCTATTTATAATTAAGTTATTCGAGAATCGTTAAAGGCCATCTTTTGATGATTAATTATACACAATCGGGTTGCTCAATGCATGAATCATCCTGTTTTTTTATTCAATAATAAATTAATTATTTCGTTAAAAAATATTGATTTCCTAATACAGTATTTAAAAATAGGTGTATGTTATGATGCGATTTTATAAATTTGTGTCGTGTTTATTAA